ATCACTGGGACAACACTGGGCTGTACTTTTTTTTAAAGGGCTCCCCCCTAAAACCTAAACCCCATGCTCGGGGGCTCTATAAGGAGGGGTATCGGACGTTCGGCTTGAAGCCACCAGACTTTCGTTTTCCCTGCTTCTGAGCTTGCTGTGGGGGGGCGGGGGACGGTTTAGGCTTTAGGGCTTCGGGGGGGGGGGGTTGAACGCTTTTCTTGACGTCGTGGCATGAGTCCTTTGACGCACCCTAAACCCTAAACCCCAAATGACATGGTTAGAGCCAGTTCCCGGAGGGTCTAATTCTTGGGGATTAGGGTCCAGCTACGGGTTTTGGGGGGTGTGGGGTCTGGCCTATGACAGGTTATTATGGGCTCTGAACGGGCTGACTGCAGCTTTTTTGCGGCGTTTTCTCCTATAGGATCAACTTGCCAGGGTCGGGGAGTGTCTGCAGCCTACTAAAGGACGAAAATATTCGGAGATGGTGGGGTCTCATCACGCTTTGTCTAGGCTTCGGAGCACTCTTTTCCTGTCCAAACCCTCAAGCCTGTGCTACTCTCTGAGTCGAAAGCTTGCGAGCAATGGTCCCGGTGTTGCTGGAAGTTGGTAGTTACACAAAGGCCCGTGAACCTGCTTAGTCGGTTGTTGCTGACCATCGCTACGACGTAATGCTGTGCCGACGAGCCGCTTTTGTTCTTGACTCTTTGTGGAAAGGGATGTGCGGAGTTAGAGGGATTCGAGGTTCAACTTGAACCTCGAGAGTTCGGGGTGCCCATGAAATACTTGTGGGGGTTTAGGGTTTAGGGGTTTAGGGCTTTGCGGGGATGATTCAAGTTGCGGTCCAATCTAGGGCACCGATTATTGAAAGCTACTGTTCAGCAGGTATATCCTCGCGCGTCGAATAGTGCTAGCTATTGTTCAGCAGGTACTTTAGCATGAGAAACTAACTTAAGAAGGAGGTGGTGGCTGAATCAACAGAACTCGATGTCAACACAACACCACAGTGCACGATCAAGGTTGGGACGAAGAGATCAGCATGGTGAAAGAGGAGCGAGTATCCTGGAACAACAGGCACCCCGAGTGCAAGTGTTGGGGGTCAAAACTTGCACGCCTTTCGCATCCACCTTCCAATGGCACCCGAACTTGGAACCTTATGCTTCAGATCTGGTCACAAGTCGAAGGCTTGCTTGTCAGCTAACATCCGTGGCCCCGCTACAATCCCTAAACCCTCAACCCTAAATAGTGTAACTTTGGTAGCAGCTCGAAGTGTGGGGGCTCGACGCCTCGGGGTCCCTGAGGTCCGTCGCCCTGTGGTCGCGAGGGGCTTAAAGGAAGTAGGAAACCTGATGGAGCTCTTTTTAAGAAGGGGCGGGCGCTGGTGTTCAGGTTGGCATGAATGACTCGTGCATAAGCATATGTAGATGTATCTGTGTATGTGCATGTATGTGTGTACTTGTATGTGTGTGTATTTGTGTATGTGCGCAAGTATGTATGTATGTATGCATGCATGCATGCATGCATGCATGCATGCATGTAGGTATGTATGCAGGTATGTATGTCTGTACGTACGTATGTATGTAACTGTATGTATGTATGGCTGATGAAGATATAAAGTAGAGCAGGTTGGGGCACGGCTCTGCGTCGTCGTGTGTGTTGGTGTCCAGTATCGCCTGCAGCGGCTTTGCCTTATTCATGGAAGCCCGCCGTGCTCTGCAGGAAGAAGAAGTCTTATCTTAACGACGTGGAGTGAGGGGCCTGCCCGTCAGAAGTGGTTTGCGCAAGCACCGCACAAGCAATGGCAGAAACCCGTGTGTGGTAAAGACTGAAACAAATCGAACACTGTGTGCCAGTAGTCTTTTGTTAAAGAATTTGGTCGTTTGTACCTGCGCATGGCAGCAAACTGCTCTGACCCGCCACCATTACACGTCTCAGCGTCAGCCTTGTCATGAAAGACAAAAAGTTGCTGCTAGCAAGCTTTGGTCAAGCATGCGTTGAGCTGTAGGCCCGTAGGCTGTCCGGGAATGCACTCCATGGGGTGCCAACCCGATGACGCAGATGACCACCATGCCAACCACTAGGGTGAGTAACATCATGATCAGGCTGTTTCTCAGAATGACGACCCTGGATATGAGGACGAACAAATTGTCATGATGAAAGCGATGATGTGGCATTTATTCAACAAGAGCTGCTGTCTCTGGCGTGCAGGAAGGAGGGTAGGGTGTGGTGGTTGCTGTGCATGTGTTAGCACTTGGGTGTGGTTCCAATAGTAAGAGTAGTAGTGGCAGCAGTAGTAGTAGTAGTAGTAGTAGCAGCAGCAGCAGCAGCAGCAATAGTAGCAATTAGTAGGAGTAGTAGCAGCAGCAGTAGCAGTAGCAGTAGCAGAAAGCAGAACGCTGCAGCTGCTGCTGCTGCTGCTGACGTGGTGGTCGTGCTGGTGGGGTAGCCGTCATGGATGACTGCCCCCCGTAGGAATACGACGGTGCCTACAGCTTCTACCAGCACTAATACTAACTAAGCCTCAAGGCAGGCTTGAGTCACAAGTTCCGAGTCAGTCACCGCACCGACCCTCAAAGTTGCAGCTTCAGTGACACCCGGCCTGGGGAGTGCAGCACTCCAAGGATCTAGGGGTATAGGCTGCAGGGCTTTAGGGTTCAGGGTGTAGGGGTCTAGGGTGCAGGGCGTCCCAGGGCATATAGGCTTAGGTTTTATGGTTTGCTTAGCTGAAACCGAAAGCCTTGCCCTACACTGGAGGCTCAGGGAGTTATGCCTCTGAGCCTGAGTTGCAGAACAGGTTCAGTGATGTTTTCTTGTCAACCGCCAGGCCATGGTCCAACTGCAAGGACGTTTGTATGGATCCGATGTCTGAGATTACAGCTCCGATATCTGAGATTTAGAATCAAATCCGGATTTTGTGTTTGTTTTACGCCTGCATGACATTCCCAAGAAACCTCGGCTCCAGTAATCGACGGCAAACGACCCGAAACGGGGGCGTTTATGTTCACACTGGTGATGTGCCTTTATTGAGCATAGACCTTCACTAGCATGCTCCAAAAAAATCGTCATAGTCAAGCGTCGACTGGACAGGGTTTGGGGTTTAGGGACGTATTCTGCCCACCCCTTTACGAGCCATGCAGACGGTTTTCAAGGCCGGGAAGGAGCTTTTTGAGGCCTCCGGCCTCTCTGTGCAATGTAAGAACCTGATTAAGAAACCCTGGCCCTAACTAAAACCCCAATATGTTAGGATTCATATTCAGGACCCTAATAAAGACCCAGGGTTTTCTTAATCAGGGTCCTACAGTAGGGGAAGCAGTTCAAGTTTTCCCAGGTTCGGCATCTTGTGGAATCGATAAAGCTACATCTTCATCTACCTATCTATCATCTATCTGTTTATCTAAATATCTATCTGTCTATCTACCTATCTATCTATCTATCTATCGATCTATGTATCTATCGACCTGTCTATGTATCTATCTATCTTTCTATCTTTCTGTCTCTCTATCGTTCTATCTATTGTTCTATCTATCTATCTATCTATTTATCTATCTATCTATCTTTCTAGCTATCTATCTCGCGTTCGTTCCTCCTTTGCTTCTCTGTTTGGCATTGAGGATGCATTGTGTGAACTAGCACAATTAAATCAACATGCCGATCGTTGCCTGGCAACATTTTTAAGTCATTGATCATGGGAACAAGGAGCAACGGGCTATAGCAACAGCAGCAGCAATAACAAGAGCTGTAGCAACAATGATAACCACGACACTAGTCGTCAAATTAGTGAAAACCGCTACAATCGTACCAGTAAAGCAGGTTGTACTAATGAATACAAATGGTGGTATCAAATCGAGGACTACTTGTCGAACAATACATAACTCCACAAAGAACGAACATCCACGCAGCAACAACAACAACCACCTCAGCCTCAACCTCAACCTCAACCGCCTCCACAACCACGACCGCATCCACCACGACGAGGACAGCAACAGCACCAACAGGTGCAACAACTGTGGCGGCGAATGTCAGCATCCAAGAATAAGAGAATCTCAGAGTTCGTAGGGCTGGGCGCATCGTGTTGGTGGTCCGAGGAGAAGCAACCTAAGATGCAGAAAGGCTCGACGTGCACCTGCCGCCCACGCTGCACTCGCAGCTTTGGGCGCTGCAGGGCTGACGTGGCTGGTACCCACCCGGGCGCGTGGCAGAGCCGGCCAGATGTTGAAGATGGCATATCGGGGCATATACCGAGCTGAGGGTGTGGAGTCTATCGCAGAGAGACATGATGGTGCATGATTTATGTCGTGATGTCTCTGCAGACCTCGCGTCTCGTTATCAAGGTTCGCGGAAAATGACAGCACTCTGTCATGATGGCGGTGATGCAGACGACGTGCTTGACGATTGACCCTCTCGCAGCAGATACACGATCATACTTAACATCATGGTGACGGTGATGGTGGTGATGCTGGTGCTGCTAGTGGTGATGAAGCCAACTATGAAGTTGAGGCTCGGTATGATGTTCACGATGGACCAAAGCAATGACAGTTGACCCGATGTTGTCGATGGCGAACATGACCATTGAATGATGTACATGAAGGTCATGACGATGCAGCTGAAGATCGCAATGATGGGTTGGAACATGACCATTCAGATGATGAGGCGCAAGAAACCAGCATGATAACAACAGTGACAAACGTCCTGGCTCTGGTATTTTTGTTATTGGTGTTGCTGTTGCGGCTGACGATGATGATGATGGTGGTGGTGATGGCGATGGTCAGAATTACGATGATGGTGATCGTGGTGATGATGTTGGTGGTGATGAGGATGAAGACGAGGACGATGGCGATGGTGAGATGCTCATGCTGATGCTGCTACATGGATAGTTCTCCAAATTAGGGTCCCATTTTAGGTCCACAAAAATATTGCGGCACCCTTATAAAAAGGGACCCTAACAAGGGACCCTAATTTTGAGAGCTACCCACATCGAAGAATCCTCACCCCAAACTCCACGACGGAGCCAGGCCTAGCAAGCGAGGAGCCGCCGGGAAAGAAACAGGCCGGTCAGTCGGAAGGGCTTTGGTAGGGTTTAGGGTTTAGAGTTCTGCTTAAAGGGTTTAGCAGTTTTTTGGGGGGGCCTTGTTTGTGGTGGCTGTTGAAAGGCCTCATGTGTTTTTTTCTTGGTGAGGCTCCGTCGGGATTTACAGGATGTATGGATTTCTTTAGAGCTGTAGATGAAATTGCTTCGGGTCTGTGGCTTTCGGGGGCCTTTGGGGTTTAGGGTGGCCAGGGGTTTAATTTAGGGCTGTTCTGAATTGCCAGGTTCCCCGGTAGTACCCTGTTGCCCTTTTTGGCTTTCTGGGTTCCCTTATTAAAACCAAATCGTGGGAAAAAGGGTGCCCTTATTATTAAGGGGCCACTGGG